TTAGCTTTAAAATTCTTTCATTTAACCAATATTTATAAAGAGTCTACAGGTTACCATGCAATGCCTGCAGTCCCTGGAATACATCAATGAATAAGAAGATCCATGTCCTTGCAGAACTTGTACTCTACCGTGAAGGGGACAGAAAATAAACAAAAATCATGAAAAATAAGTAAGTTATACAGAATGTTTGAAGGTGGTGAGAACTATGGCAACAGGAGAAGAAAGGGGGGTGATGGGAAGGCAGGCTGATAGGTAGACAGGGAGTGTTTGCTGGCAGTGGGGAGGGTTAACATTTTTAAACTAAGTATCATGTGTAAGTTTAAAGTATAAGACTGAAGCAACGACTGTTGTCTAGGGAGAAACCCCAAGTAACCAAAAGCTTGGTTAAATGAATACACTGTTCCAACCATAAGTCTATCTAGAAACCCACACATCTGTAACAGACATACGCAGTATATGCCACATTCCAACACTAGAACGTAATACTCCCATTTACTATTATTTTCTGATAAGCAAAGCACATGAGTTGCACTAATGGGAAAAAATGCAAAGGCATCAATCTGGGAATCATATGAGTTGTTCCTAGAGCATTGTGTTAGGATGAAGCATTCAAAAACAAACATTTATACTGCTTAGGATACTCACAAGTAATAAAAAGTAGAAAGACATGCTTAGAATGAAAAACACCAGTGTCAGGACAGAGTTTTCTCTTGGGAGGTAAGGGAAGGAAAAGCAATTTGGACAGGTACATTAAGGGCCTCCAACTGCTGTCAAGTTTGCCACCAATCTAAGTAGTAGGCACACCTGTGTCTGTATCTTTGTGTTTTTCAAAATCTTTCAAAGTAAAACAATTGCAACTGAATGTAATGTATGAGATGAGTAATAAAAACTTGCCTTAAAAACAGTATTTGATATGTGGCTGGACAAACTGGCATAAACCATCATGCATATGGGAATCACCATAACGGTGGGATTCAGGCAGCCAACAGCATTAGGGTACTACTTATTTATAGGGGAGAGTAATTAAGATTACTCTTCATTCCATGTTTTCCCAACAGTGTTATTCTCAGTGACACAAACATATAAATTGTTTTTCCAACTAAAAATGCACTCAAAATAATACAAACTTTGATAAACACCAATTATATTTACAACATGCACACTCATGAACACAAATGTGTGCATCACAGTGAAAAAATACCCTGGGACCACTATCAAAGGACCATAGTTTAAAACATGTTAATTTGTCTTTCCAAAAATTACTACACAATACTACTACTTTGTATTGGTATATGAACAGTTTTTACTAAACACGGCTTTATAAGACAGATGTTCATTTTTTTATGACTTTCTTAGTAATATTAGATTTATTTTCATGCCAAATAAATTAATCATCATATTTATACTTCTTCCTTGAAACTAGTCATCGCATCACTTGTATTCCTTACTTGGTGACTTTTTTTAAAGATCAAAGGATCAAAAGCTAAAGATCCCAGGCTCCTCAAGATTTCAACCTAGATGCATGTTACGCTAGATATATAAAAGTCATACACTTACTTTGTCGAATGAAGCACTGCAGCCTACAGATCATACTGCATTACATAGGTTATTTTTCATTTTTTCTTAAAGTAACAGCAAAAAAGCAATAAAGACAACATATTCAGATGTAATATGTCAGTCTTCAGAATCATTGGGAACCTAACTGGAAGTGGCTAGTGGTAACAGAACCTCTGTCTTCTGACACACTGACTGAAAGTTTCCATGGTCACTAACACAGATTCTCAATCACAGCCCTCTAAAGGCGTCAAGTATTTGATCCAAGAAGGGAAAAGATGGAAAAAAACCCAGAAGGCATATATATATACACACACACACACACACATATACACACACACACACACATATATATATATACCTCATGCAGGGAAGACTGAAGGTCCAGGTCTCCATTACAACTCCCACAACTACAAGCCTAATTTAGAATGCAGAAACCAAACTTACGGAGAAAACACAAACCACAAAGAATTATTTCAGATTTAGAGGTTGTAAACCCCAGTCTCAGCACCGAGTTTTGTCTTAAAACATGCTGAATGTATCACTACTGTTAAAGTGTGAATCTATAAAAATGCTCAGAAAATTGGAGTCAATTTTTTAATGGTGCTCTAAACTAAAACTAATCTCAAATGCAAAAAATGAGTTTAAAAATAAATAACAGACTTGCCCTTTTTCCTATGTCAATGAAATAGAAGATTATTTTTTAATCTCTTCAGTTACAGGCTTTATTATACCAAAAATAATAAAGAAATGGGAAAAACTTTATTCTTTTCTAGTGACAATGATTTTTTTCCCTCCAAATTTACTAACACTTTCATTTTTCTAAAAAAAAAATACAATAAAACAGGTTGTTTAGCTAATCACTATGAAGTTATGAGACAAAGACTTCCCTACATACTTTCCTCGTTTTTGCAGAAAACAGATCATAAAACAGAAGAAGCCTTGTTTAAAGAAATGAGCAGCTTTGGTTACAAGTGCAAAAGTCAGCCATGTGTACTAATTCTCAGTAATAATGAAGCAAGGTGAGGTCCCCAGAGACTTAAAAGTCAACACCTAGCAATGCTTGGATGAACTAAGATGAGGAACCGCTCATGTGGCACAACCTTACAAAACCCTTTGTATTCCCAATAGGACAGATGAGGCTGTGGAACTCACAACAACCCTCTAAGGTGTGTGACTGCCTCCAATTATACAGAAAACTTTGCTAAAGCCTGCAAAGAAAGATGCTGCTGCTACTTAAAAAATGCATGGCTGGGCAGGGTGGCCCACGCCTGTAATCCCAGCACTTTGGGAGGCCAAGGTGGGCAGATCAGGAGGTCAGGAGATTGAGACCATCCTGGCCAACATGGTGAAACCCAGTCTCTACTAAAAATGCAGAGAACTTAGCTGGGCATGGTGGTGCATGCCTGTAGTCCCAGCTACTCAGGAGGCTGAGGCAGGAGAATCGCTTGAACCTGGGAGATGGAGGTTGCGATCGCGTCACTGCACTCCAGCCTGGTGACAGAGCAAAACTGTCTTAAAAAAAAAAAAAAAAGGATGTGTGTGCACACACAAACACACAGAAAATGGAACCATCCATTCATCTACTCAGAGATCTAAAGGGACCTGGGTTGTCTGCTACCTACAGGATTGCTTACCTGAAAATAAACTCTTACTTCTTAAAGTAATGACTGGGGGAAAAAAGGCAAGGGAGAAGACTTGAAAAGCTAAGGACCACTGTCTACCTCTGAGATGAAGGATGGCAAATCTCATTTCACAGATATTTTAAGTAGCTGTAAAGCCTAAGTGGCTCCAATTTTAAGCCTGTGTTTAGATCAGGTTTGAAAAGGGCTACATCTCTTTACATAACTAGGCACCACTTCTGATGCCAATGTGCTTTGTGTTTGAAATGGGCGACTGCATATGCAAAAACAAGACCACCTACAGATGGCACCTAGAAAATACGTGCCACAACCAATCTCCTTGGCACCCAGAGGCATGTGCAGGCAAAATGCTTTCATTAAAAAGAAAATAAACCTCTGGGCACCATGCCATGATGATTGCCAACATCTTGAGTAGTATCACATAATTAATTTTACATTTTAATTCTTATAGAAATCTATGATCATATCTTTTCAGAAAGTTTAAAATGTAACTTAAAAAAAACAACAACCCCACCTGACCTACCAAAAAACCCTGCTATATCCTGGACCCTGTAACAACCTGAAGGTCTAGGCTAGGCACAGCCTATGGATAAACCTATCCAAAAATCAGAAAACCTACTTACTCAAATGGAAACTACAGAGTTGTTTTAAATGGAGAGTACTTATGGGGAAGAGCAACTTCTAAAATTCTCTTTGATTATTACTGTGTGCCCTTTTTATTTAGGACATTAAAGGCTCCTTTTTTCCATCCTGAATGCTCCTAAAGTTACAGAACAAGGGGATCCTGCCTGGCCATCTCCGACAGGTCACTGATCAAACAGAGAGTCAGGCAGTAGCCAAATTCCATCCATCTCTAAAGAAAACCAGGAGCTAGGACTTCTTAGCTCCTGCTACATTTAAGAAACCATCATTCAATGTTAGATAGGACAATAAGCCCTTTCCACACAAACATTGTCCAACGCCTAAACTCAAGGATCTTCAAGAAAAAAATTACTTCAGGAATACTACTTCCTGCCCAGAGTAAGCCAATTTTAAAAAGTGACTTCATCTTTTTTATAAGAAATAGGTTCAGATAAAAAAATACCAATTTTGTATTGCCTGAGTGATCAAAGCCTGTTATTTAACCAACCTTATCTTTAAATAACACTAGTCTTTGTATAAGAGTTTAATTTACTTAAAGTATTTACATTCACATGAACAAACCAGTACATGAGATAAAACGAGACACAATGTTTTGCTGAGCTTCAGAACAAGATGCAGGTTGTTCATCCATATAAGGAAACAATCATTCCAAGCGTTTTTGACAATGCAGAGCACACTCAGCCAGTTATTTCCCAGCATTGTTCTCCCAAAAGCAGTGGAAGCTTGAACAGATGCTGCCACTTGCAAGGCAAAGCCAAGCAAAGAGCTATGGTTGCTGACTTCAAACTACAAGTTTTAGTGCCTGACCCAGCAGAGGGTGCCATGAGGAAAGAATGTACTAAACATTAACTTTAGAAAAGGTTAGCAAAGATTTTTCAAAGGGCAAACACTTCTGTCACAAATGACTTCTATTGCAGAACAAACCATAAGCAATGACGAATTTAACAGGCATGACTTAACAGGCAGTAAGATCAGAAACATTTACCCTTCCACCTCTGGAATGGTTCGCCTGTCTAGGAAAAGCCGAGGTGCCCTAGTAGACTCTGCCCTTGTGCAGGATCTGTGGTTAAACAGAAGCCTTAGTCCACACCTGTTGACCATGGCAGTGATATAGATGTGAAACAAATCTTTTCAATGTAGAGATCTTCAAAAGGTACTTACGCAGCCTCCAGCAAGAATTTCTGCTGCAAGTGGGACCGAACCATCTTTGTGCATAAATTTATCCCTCACAAAATCGTTCACCTTGAAGAAAAATATTTATAGAAGCTGATGAAAAATATAAAAGTCATTAAACACTTATAAATATGCATCTGTCAATAAAGGCTATTTTTTTCTATCAGTCTATTGGAGTAATCATAAATTGCACAAATTAACAGATCTTAAAATAGTTTGAGAAGTACTCTTAATAGCATAATACAGTTTTAAAAAATGAAAAATATATATGCATCACTGATGTTTCAGGAGAAAAGTTAAAAGATAAATGAAAGCCAAAAATACGCTCTGCAATTAGAATAGCTTAAGAAGGCTGATTTTGTCACTGATAATAGTGACAAAATAAAAACATACATCTTACAACTTAACACTGTTTTATAAGGCTTGATTAAAAATCACTTTCAAGTCTTCTAACAAGAATTAATCTAAAACACTACTCATCATGGAGATAAATTTGGCTGAGCAGACTTTTCCAGCTTAGAAGAAATTCAATATCTAAAAATTCCTCAAGGATTCTCAAAGAACATAAATTACATTAATTAATTAATATAATATTCTCAAAATGGTATGTACTACAAGAAATTTTAAGAAACAGTCATATCTTTTTGGCAGACATAGGCCAGAGAAGATTAGCTATCTCAAGGTCACATAATAAAATGGTAAAAGAAGAATTTCAGGCTCCAAAGCTACACAGTTCAATCTAAAGCTAGAGTTTCACTTTCTGGGGCTTTATGGCCTTAGTGATGCATATGTTTGTATATTCCACAAACACTTAAACTGAATATCAACCATCTGTCAAATGTGAGCCAGGCACTGGGCAAATAATCTGATGAACGATCGACTTCAACTAGAACCCAGATCCCTGCACATTTGGCTTTATAGAACACACCCTAAACCACGAATCCTATAAAACAGCAGGTGCTGACGTGCTCTGGAGTCAGACAAGTCTGATTTTAAATTCTAGTTCTCCCACTCATGATTTGTGTGAACACAGGTAGGCTCTTTAAGCCCTATAGGCCTTAGTTTCCTTATCTGTAAACTGTGGATCACGCTCTGTTGAGATTAGACCAGTAAAAGGTAATATATATAATGTACCTAACACAATAGATACTGAAGGGAATTTAGCTGCTACTGCTATGATGACAACAATGATGGCAGCAACCACTAAAAGTACTCAAGTTTATTATCACATTTTTGGATGTCCACTGCTAAATGGGGAATAATGAAAAAACGTGTGTGGTGAGTTCCCCTGCTTTCAAATTAGCTAGCACCTCTGAGCAAACAACCTGCTGTTTCCTATAAGAATACCTGCTAGATTCTTGAGTATGTACAAAAGCCCTTACTAAGAAGCACCAACTCAAAAGACTTACTGTAAGTTTTATGGCCTTCTCTGGGGCAACTCCCAATAACTGTGGCAACAGACCTAAAAATCAACAAAAAGTAGAAGTATATTAAATAAATTAGCATTAACTAAACAAATCAACAGTTCTACAGAGGGGATTACCACTTAAAAACTGCTTAATCTCTGCTGCAATTTTCTGCTATTACCCTTAATGAGAATATTTGAAATGGAATGTTTAAGTACTAACTTCTAACAGCCGCATCAGGCCCAAGTACATTCCATCTCACATTCTGGATCGTTTGCACATTGGGTAAATCAACAGTATTAGTGACATAGGAAATCTCATTATTCCCCCAAAGTCTGCTCCTTCCCTTCTGCCTTCTAAATCAGTGGACCACTTGATTTTCTAAATCAAGAACCACTTTTGGGGAAGGCAGTGAGAACACTGAGTGCATTTAGTGGAGCTACATATCTGAACTAAAAAATCTCATCGTTTTCATTTGTTCTTCTTAAAGAAAAAAAATTTAAATCACAATTGTTTTTTCTTGGAAACACGCACCAAGCTAACCCTGATGGTAGGAGTACGTTGTACCCTTTGTCATACTTTGCGAGAGGTTCATGGTGCTATTCTTCATTGGAAGTATAATTTTCTAATTTATCTATGTAAGAAGGTCCACTTGCAGCCTCTTCTGAGGGACCAGCCTTGCCCACACTCTCTTCCTAAAGGAGCAAGCCTGAGAGGTCACTAGCTTGAATGCCATATGTATCCAACCTACAGGTATATTTTATTGAGTAACGAAAAGTTTCAAACATAACCTGACATCCTTGTAAGAAAGATCAATGAGGCCAGTAATCACGCCTGTAATCCCAACACTTTGGGAGGCTGAGGAGGGCAGATCACCTGAGGTCAGGAGTTTGAGACCAGCCTGACCAACAAGGTGAAACCCTGTCTCTACTAAAAACACAAAAATTAGCCGGGTGTGGTGGCAGGCACCTGTAGTCCCAGCTACTCAGGAGGCCAAGACAGGAGAATTGCTTGAACCCGGGAGGCGGAGGTTGCAGTGAGCACAGATTGCACCATTGCACTCCAGACTGGGCAATGGAGCGACACTCTGTCTCAAAAAATAAATAAATAAATACATAAATAGATAAAATAAAATAAAATAAAAATAAAAATAAAATAATATAATATAAAATAAAATAAAATAAATAAAATAAAATAAAATAAAATAAAATAAAATAAAATATCAATGAACGGACTGACCTAGCCGTCAGTTCATAGGTTCAGTTCTGACTGAACTGACTGACCCTGGGCCTCTTTCTGACATCCCAGCCATCTGCTCTATTGAGTGAAGCTCCATCCTTCAGACAGAAACCATGCAAGGTGGTGCCCACCCTGCTCTGAGGCCCGTACCTCAATGAGGATAAATGCCCGTTTCTTTCTTTTTTTTTTTTGAGATGGAGTCTCACTCTGTCACCTAGGCTAGAGTGCAGTGGCTTGATCTCAGCTCACTGACAGCTCTGCCTCCCGGGTTCATGCCATTCTCCTGCCTCAGCCTCCAGAGTGGCTGGGACTACAGGCACCCGCTACCACGTCCAGCTAATTTTTTGTTTTAGTAGAGATGGGGTTTCACCATGTTAGCCAGGATGGTCTTGATCTCCTGACCTCATGATTTGCCTGCCTTGGCCTCCCAAAGTGCTGGGATTACAGGCGTGAGCCACCATGCCCGGCCTCCAGTTTCTATTTTTATTGCTCTATTGATAACCTCACAATTGATAAAAATTTTTTCTTTGCTCATATCCTTATAAAGGGGGAAAACTAAATAGATGAATGCAGCTTGATGTTTTTGGAAAAATGGGAGAAAGTCCTTCATTGTGGAATTAAACAAGGATAAGGATGGTGAGGCTAATGAAAATTTTCTTTAAAAGTGCATCATGTTTATTACATGCCAGGTACCATTTTAAAAACTTTATTAACTCATTTAATCCTCATAATCACTCTATAGAGAGGAAACCAAGGCATAGAGAGTTAAAGTAATTTGTTCCAAGTTACCTAGCTGGTAAGTGGTGAGACTGGGATACAAGCCTTAGCCATCTTACTTAAAAAAATCTATACCTTTATACACCACTTAACTCTATGTGTCAATATGCAAATGCGCATCTGCATCTCACACCCAGCTGCATTTGTTCACTTATATAACCTGCCTAGATCCTATAAGCATTTAAGTTTGCAACACTTCTTTTTGTTTTTTCTTATTTTTTATTTTTAACAAAGAGACAAGGTCTCACTATGTTGCCCAGACTGGTCTCAGATTCCTAGCCTCAAGCAATCCTCCTGCCTAGGCTTTCCAAAGTGCTGGGATTACAGGTGCGAGCCATCTCACCTGGCCTGAGTTAGTAATCCTTCACTAGGCAACCATAATATCTAAGCCTGCTTCATCCCCAGAGCCACAGCTGACTGGACAATGTAAAAACACCTAAAAGATAAGCAAATCAAGAGTTCAGCAACTTAAGCCTGCTACCAAAAATGGAGCTGGCCAATCAGGATGCCTTCCCCAGGAGTATGACTGACAGTCCTTAGAGAGGAGGGGACAAGTTAGCACAGAAGCAGCAAGATGAAAAGATGTCATGGGTGGAGCAAGGAAAGCAGCCAATTGGAAGCCATCTGTGCGCTAATGTCACAAGGAAGCAGAAACCATGAATAAGCAGAGGAAATGCGTTGGTGGACAGATGAGAATGTGAAGCAAAAGGAATGGAGACTCTAAAAAGAGAATGCGCATAGCCCATGAAAGGCACACAGGTGGGAGCGCCCGTCCCCATCACCTTCAGGTCCCACTGAAGCCAGGCTCCAGTGCAGCTCCTGCTCTTGGATCCCTGAGATTTCTACCTTCTTTCTCTCTTGTGCGAATGCTTATTAAAAGCCCCCCTTAGCTCTTGCTAGCTTGAGTGGGGCTGTGCTCTTTAGAATCTAAATGAGTTAAGGCAGCATATGAGAAAAAATGGGAATATGCAACCATTTGGGCAAAGCAAGCATTCTTATCCAAAGCAAGCATTCTCTCCTAAACTATACTCATGACACTCACTCACTGATCTTTCATTAAGATATCTATAATAAGAGAAGGCTTGGTTATTACCTAATAAAAGTACAACATTAATTTCTACTAGTAATATGTGGGCAGACGCCTGTTTAAACTACCTCTTCACATTTGAAATTTCCATCTTACTCCCTGTATTCAGGTCAAGTGCCAAAATGTTTAGTTAAATATTTACTTGCTAGAAGTATTTTTCTCATCATTAAATTGTAGACCAAAATTGTGGATGGGTTGAAAGCACTGTGATTTAAATGATGATCTCTTGTCTCCATAACTATCCTGTGACAGTCTTTTTAAATGACTAATAAAAAACCAGCCCACAGAGCCAAATGACTACAGTGTTAGATACAATCATTGCAGTCAGCCTTTCAAACTACTGAGATTTATCCTTCTCGCCATAAATTTAGTAATGCCTGTGAACAGCAAAAAACAAAAGGGAAAACCCTGTATGTAAGACTACAAAGAAGGCAACAAATAGCTATTTGTTCAGCAAACATTTACCAAATGCATCCTCTGTGTGCCTGGTACTGAGAGGGACTGGGATGAACACAGTGAGACTGGTGCCTCCCCCTTAAGAAATTCAGAGTTTAGAGGGAAAGGGAATGCTAGCTGTCTCCACCTGCCAGATGGGTGACAAACCACCTAACAACAGCACATGCTGCATGCCAGACCCCAGGGGCATCACAGGACTATGAGAACCCAGTGGAGAGAACAAGTTCTTCTACCAGCAGGAGGGAAGAAAACATCAAAGAAGAGGAGATATTTGCCCTGGGACTTCAAGGGTGAGCAGAGGTTTGCTGGAGAGATGAGACAATGAGCAGAATAGTGAGCAAGGTGATCCAGGCAGAGAAAACAGTTGGTGTGCAAAGGCACCAACATCTTAAGGCTATGGCAAGCAGTCAGGGCACTGGAGGCTGTGCTTGGATCACAGAAGACCAGATAATAAGTAACAATATTATTAATAGTAGTGATAATGACGACAGTCAATAATTGGGGAACACTTGTTACATCCACATACTACTCTGTGTTTTATGTGAATGAACACATTTAATCCACAGAACACCTTACTTAGACAGTGGCTTTTGTTTTATCCACAGCAACTGAAGAAGAAACTGAGGCCGACTTTAAGGGAGCTGCCCACGGTGGCTCAGCTGTTCGATGGAAGAACGGGGTTCCACCCAGGCTGTCCGGCTCCAGCCTCTGCTCTTACCTGGTAAACTGCATAACTTCGCTCCCAGGCCCACTAAGGAGCATGCATCAAATTCTGTAGATGCATGGGGTGGCTCTTAGGGTAAAAAGTAAAGTTCAAAAAGTAAAAAGTTCTAGAGGCAGGTGAAGGATAGTTTGCAAGAGCAGAGACCTGAGGCAGTTAGAGAAACTAGGAGGTTAAAGTAATATACTAGAGGCCCCACATTTCCTTATATTAAATGATTAACTTCAACTTAGAATAAAACCAAAGTACAAATCCACTCCTAAGACCTAGGCCAGATGCTGGCACTCAGGGAAGTTGTTGATAAGAACCATTCTTGTAGTGACTACCCTGTCTGGTTAAACAGGAAAATGAAGGTGACTGGATTATAATCTGAGGCCCACTACAGATGTGGGCCTTGAAAACATTAGTCTTGAGTACCTGCTCTTTGTAAAAAGGTCTGTGAAACAATGAAAAGTTAAAGAGGTGGGAATTCCAAGATCCCTCCTTGTACCTTGACCTCAGAGGGAGAAGAGGTAGCAAGGCCCAGTAAAGCCTAAAGCAGAGAGTCTAGATGAGGCACTTCACCGCAACCACATTTAAGTCTAAAGTGCATATATATCTGACATCTGGGTAACTCAGCAGAAAAATCAGGTTTCTAATATAAGATGCTTCTGTTGGGTCCTGGAAATTCACTTTAACCATTTGAAACAGAGAATGGATGTGTGTGTTGTTTCTAACTTGTCAAAACAGCAGTCCATTTTCCAACTGCCTCAAATGAAATTTATTAGTGTGGTTAG